GTGAATCTGATGATGGAAACGAGAGGAATTTAGTTCAATTGAGGAAAGTGAAGCCAGAGTCCAACAAGGCTTTGGATGAATCCGTAGATACAAAAGCAAAATTGGTTTCAAATAAATCTTCGGATGGCCCAAGCAAAAATTTAGATGGGTTGGGTGATGGAACTGGGAGGAATTCATTTGAATTGAAGGTGGCGAAACCGGAGTCGAACGAGGCTTTTGTTGAGTTTGTTGTGGCAATTGAGAAGAGCCCAGTTGGAATTGCGGAGACTAGATCTGATGAAACTAGAGAGAGAGAGAGGGTTATAAGGAAATGGAGGTGGGTAGAAGAAAGCGCATAACATGGGAGAGCAGAATAAAGAGTGATGAACTCAACGGAGGACTCAAAATCTTCTATGGTGAAGAAGAGAACTCAGAAGAGAGTGGTGACAAAAGTTTGAGACCAAAACCAAGTCCTATTGGGGTCAGTGGCAAGAGGAAGACATGGAAATCTGAGAATTCTGATGGGCTTGAGAGAAGCCCAATTCAGATTGCAAGGCAAAGATCTGAAATAAACAAGAATTTGGATGTACAGTGTAAGGAGTCGAGTGTATCTACTGATGGAATCAAGAAAAACCCAGTTCAGTCAAAGAAATCAAGATCTGAGCAACTAAGTGTGTTTGTTAATGGAATTGAGAGAAGCCCAATTCACAAAATGAAGACAAGATCTAAGGAATCTAAGGAGTTAAATGTGTTTGTTGAAAGAACTGAGAGAAACCCAAATCAGGCTAGGAAGGCAAAGTCTGAATCCCAGAAGTTAGTTGGTGAATCTGATGATGGAAACGAGAGGAATTTAGTTCAATTGAGTAAAGTGAAGTCAGGGTCCACTAAGGCTTTGGATGAATCCGTAGATACAAAAGCAAAATTGGTTTCAAATAAATCTTTGGATGGCCCAAACAAAAATTTAGATGGGTTGAGTGATGGAACTGGGGGGAATTCATTTGAATTGAAGGTGGCAAAATTGATATTAAAATTTGAATCTATGGTATAGATTTAAACTTGATCCTATATATTACTTTTGAAATGAATTTGATCTACTCAATAGGAATTTTAGACAACTCTTTTTTCCTTTTCTATAGTATCATAATTTGAATCTATAGTGTAGATCTGCAGTAATTCTTTCTTCTTGTTCTTTTATTGTTTTTAAATGTGACCTTGTCAATTGGCAATCATGCTGTTTGTTTTGGCGAGATTTGGTAGCTCCATAACTATTTGGAAGATGGCCAAATTGGTTTAGTTATGATTTCATTTGAATTTTCAAAATGGAGATTGTTATTTACACCCCTCACGGGCTATTCACACTCAATATTGTGTTTTGGTTAAGAACAAAATTTAAAGGATAGAAAGCAAAAGTAGAGTATAAATAGTAATTTTCTTAAATTAGGGTTAGTGGCAAGAGGAAGACATGGAAATCTGAGAATTCTGACAGTCTTGGGAGAAGCCCAATTCAGATTGCAAGGCAAAGATCTGAAATAAACAAGAATTTGGATGTACAGTGTAAGGAGTCGAGTGTATCTACTGATGGAATCAAGAAAAACCCAGTTCAGTCAAAGAAATCAAGATCTGAGCAACTAAGTGTGTTTGTTAATGGAATTGAGAGAAGCCCATTTCACAAAATGAAGACAAGATCTGAGGAATCTAAGGAGCTAAATGTGTTTGTTGAAAGAACTGAGAGAAACCCAAATCAGGCTAGGAAGGCAAAGTCTGAATCCCAGAAGTTAGTTGGTGAATCTGATGACGGAAACGAGAGGAATTTAGTTCAATTGAGTAAAGTGAAGTCAGGGTCCACTAAGGCTTTGGATGAATCCGTAGATACAAAAGCAAAATTGGTTTCAAATAAATCTTTGGATGGCCCAAACAAAAATTTAGATGGGTTGAGTGATGGAACTGGGGGGAATTCATTTGAATTGAAGGTGGCGAAACCGGAGTCGAACGAGGCTTTTGTTGAGTTTGTTGTGGCAATTGAGAAGAGCCCAGTTGGAATTGCGGAGACTAGATCTGATGAAACTAGAGAGAGAGAGAGAGAGGGTTATAAGGAAATGGAGGTGGGTAGAAGAAAGCGCATAACATGGGAGAGCAGAATAAAGAGTGATGAACTCAACGGAGGACTCAAAATCTTCCATGGTGAAGAAGAGAACTCAGAAGAGAGTGGTGACAAAAGTTTGAGACCAAAACCAAGTCCTATTGGGGTCAGTGGCAAGAGGAAGACATGGAAATCTGAGAATTCTGATGGGCTTGAGAGAAGCCCAATTCAGATTGCAAGGCAAAGATCTGAAATAAACAAGAATTTGGATGTACAGTGTAAGGAGTCGAGTGTATCTACTGATGGAATCAAGAAAAACCCAGTTCAGTCAAAGAAATCAAGATCTGAGCAACTAAGTGTGTCTGTTAATGGAATTGAGAGAAGCCCAAATCACAAAATGAAGACAAGATCTAAGGAATCTAAGGAGTTAAATGTGTTTGTTGAAAGAACTGAGAGAAAGCTAAATCAGGTTAGGAAGGCAAACTCTGAATCCCAGAAGTTAGTTGGTGAATCTGATGATGGAAACGAGAGGAATTTAGTTCAATTGAGGAAAGTGAAGCCAGAGTCCAACAAGGCTTTGGATGAATCCGTAGATACAAAAGCAAAATTGGTTTCAAATAAATCTTCGGATGGTCCAAGCAAAAATTTAGATGGGTTGGGTGATGGAACTGGGAGGAATTCATTTGAATTGAAGGTGGCGAAACCGGAGTCGAACGAGGCTTTTGTTGAGTTTGTTGTGGCAATTGAGAAGAGCCCAGTTGGAATTGCGGAGACTAGATCTGATGAAACTAGAGAGAGAGAGAGAGAGAGTTATAAGGAAATGGAGGTGGGTAGAAGAAAGCGCATAACATGGGAGAGCAGAATAAAGAGTGATGAACTCAACGGAGGACTCAAAATCTTCTATGGTGAAGAAGAGAACTCAGAAGAGAGTGGTGACAAAAGTTTGAGACCAAAACCAAGTCCTATTGGGGTCAGTGGCAAGAGGAAGACATGGAAATCTGAGAATTCTGATGGGCTTGAGAGAAGCCCAATTCAGATTGCAAGGCAAAGATCTGAAATAAACAAGAATTTGGATGTACAGTGTAAGGAGTCGAGTGTATCTACTGATGGAATCAAGAAAAACCCAGTTCAGTCAAAGAAATCAAGATCTGAGCAACTAAGTGTGTCTGTTAATGGAATTGAGAGAAGCCCAAATCACAAAATGAAGACAAGATCTAAGGAATCTAAGGAGTTAAATGTGTTTGTTGAAAGAACTGAGAGAAAGCTAAATCAGGTTAGGAAGGCAAACTCTGAATCCCAGAAGTTAGTTGGTGAATCTGATGATGGAAACGAGAGGAATTTAGTTCAATTGAGGAAAGTGAAGCCAGAGTCCAACAAGGCTTTGGATGAATCCGTAGATACAAAAGCAAAATTGGTTTCAAATAAATCTTCGGATGGTCCAAGCAAAAATTTAGATGGGTTGGGTGATGGAACTGGGAGGAATTCATTTGAATTGAAGGTGGCGAAACCGGAGTCGAACGAGGCTTTTGTTGAGTTTGTTGTGGCAATTGAGAAGAGCCCAGTTGGAATTGCGGAGACTAGATCTGATGAAACTAGAGAGAGAGAGAGAGAGAGTTATAAGGAAATGGAGGTGGGTAGAAGAAAGCGCATAACATGGGAGAGCAGAATAAAGAGTGATGAACTCAACGGAGGACTCAAAATCTTCCATGGTGAAGAAGAGAACTCAGAAGAGAGTGGTGACAAAAGTTTGAGACCAAAACCAAGTCCTATTGGGGTCAGTGGCAAGAGGAAGACATGGAAATCTGAGAATTCTGATGGGCTTGAGAGAAGCCCAATTCAGATTGCAAGGCAAAGATCTGAAATAAACAAGAATTTGGATGTACAGTGTAAGGAGTCGAGTGTATCTACTGATGGAATCAAGAAAAACCCAGTTCAGTCAAAGAAATCAAGATCTGAGCAACTAAGTGTGTCTGTTAATGGAATTGAGAGAAGCCCAAATCACAAAATGAAGACAAGATCTAAGGAATCTAAGGAGTTAAATGTGTTTGTTGAAAGATTTTTTTGATAACCAAGGTATTCAGGCTCTGGTTTTTTACCCGTCCTACTAATCCTCGGGAGAACAATCACAGCAACCCACCGTCACAGCTCCCACTTAAATTCCAAGTTTAATCCCAAAGGGAATCAAACCCGTAACCGTACGCCTTACCCACACAATCATATGTACGCCCTTACCACTGGACCAGCTTGGGGATGGGTAACATATAAATAATTGTAGATTTGATATAACATTTTATCTTATTAATTAGCCTATTTTGTCTTCTAATACTATTTTTAGCCAAAAAAAACTAAAAAAATTTCTTTCCAAACCAAGCTAAATACATTGAATTTAATTTATTTATTTTTTAGATAGGAATAGAAAGGGTAATTTGGAATAAATGAAAATATTATAATATCATCCATTCTTATAATTTCCACATGTAAATCTCGATATAATTAAATACAGAAAAAAGGGATTGATTTCACTTTTATCCCCTAAATTATTCTTATTTTTTCTAATCCATCCCTAAACTATCAATTTCATCTATTCAATCCCTAAAATTTCTAAATTCTATTCATATGGTCCAATTTGAGATGATAACATAAATCAATAACCAACCATAAAAAAATATTTAATGGGAAAAAAAATTATTTCAAAATTTAAACAATTTAAATCATACAACAAAACACTCATTTTTTTATATTGAACAAACAATAATACTCCCCAACCAATTTAATAATTAAATAGAAAGTGCTATTCAAAATTACCACAGACTGTGCCATCAATCACGGCAGTACCTCCTTGATTCAGGTAACAAACAGGAATGTTGTTGTGGACAAGGTTGTTGATCATTTTTTATTTCCTTCCTCTATTCTGATGATTTCAAACCTTTTTTTTTATAAATTCTTTTCAATTGCTACTAGAATCTGTCAGAAAAGAGGAACATGTAATGGATATAACACTGAACAAATAAGTTTGAACATAATACAAAGCAAAATGGTGGTGTTATGAAAGAAATTCCGGTGAACAGCATCATATGGAAAAATTGCTCATTTATGTACCGAGTATGTTACGACAAAAGGAACATTTAGTGAACCCTTCTCAGGGTTAGATGTTGCAAAAGTCCAGCTCATGGGGTGAAAGCAGCATATGGTCGGTCACAGCAGCAAATCATCTCCAATTTCATTCATAACTTTCACTACTTTGCACAATATATCTGTTACAACAAAAAATGGCTTACAAATTAGCATCTTGAGCATATCTGCATATTATCATAAGAATAATATTCCAAATTCATAAGAATGCATACCTTGGAAGGATTTATCTCCCAAATATCTCTGCAAACAAAAAATAAATAAAAATAAAAAAGTCATCACATCGCATCTTCTAGAATTCTGGTGACCAAAACATATTCATAAACAATATAAAACCACTGTATATGATGCATTACCGTGATTTGATATCTAAGATCATTATCCTCAGGTTCAGTTGGCTGTGCTATAGCTATATATGCAGTTTAAATCAAGGAAATGGTTATTAACCTTGACCCAGAAATGAAAACACCTTACAGTGTCACAATTGAAGGTTCTCAATATACCTTGTTCGGCCACAGGTTGACAGCTCATCATCAATGACGTGAAGCCAGGAGGGAATGCTGCAAAAATGCTTTCAATATCACCATTTAGTACAGCATTCTGGCAATTTGAGTTTTGACCACCTTCATATTTCGAGCTTGACTGCATCTGATAGGTACATGAGTCTATCGTAGCTGTCGCACTCCAGTCTTCCTTAGGTCTGCAAATGATATAGATCTCAATCGAAGTTTCTCTTGGCTATATTATTCATCATTGTTTTTATAATTATTCTAGATAGCACGTATCTACTGCAAAAGAAAGAATGCAGTCGAGCAATAGTAAAATCTTTATCACCACCTGTACGGTTCATCAGAAGGAACAAAATCGGATTGGTATGACATTTCGGATGCAAAGTTGCTACGTGGAAGCCCAGTGTCCCTCACATCCTCCAAAATCTCCTGAGCAAAAGAATAAAAAACATCACAACGTTATTTACAAACAAATGAAATCTGCCAACGATCACCATTGGCATGACCAGTTTTAATTAAGATGGTATACAATTGTACATTGGAGACTATTGCACCTTCAGAGCATTCATGAATGCTTCTATTTCACAGGTTGTTGAAAACCGAAACGCAAACTTCTGGATCTGGAAATAAGGAAAAAGCATGTAACTAGGTTTGAAGTTGCTTCAATGAACAAATCTGTTTAGCTTGGAAGATTGCTTTCCTTACCCAAATAAGAATGTAATAAGACATTAACACAATCCTTAGTAGTGAAACATTCATTAGTAGTTTCAAAAATCATGCACTAAACAAAAAAATGCATTGTTTAACATAATCCATTGTTAAAAGTGTGCGTAGGACCACATAATTAATAACACTAGCAGATTAGTCAAAGAAAACAAAGTAGTAAACGGTGTGCAGATTCCAGGGGACCTGAATTCTCCTGACATGAAGACTAATGCATTGAGACTAAGGCAGCATTTGGTTCACTAGAATGAAACATAATGAAAAGATTATTCCATTAAAATGTTCATTCTCATGTTTGATTGACTAACAAAATACATTACAAATTGAATCGTCATTCATCATTTCAAGATAATGGTCATTCCATATGAGAATCTAAGGAATGATCATTCCATTCCTACTCATTCCAGTGAACCAAATGAAGCATATAAGTGTTTAACTTGAGTCAATGCAGAATTACTTATTCCAATCACTTTGAACAATATGGGTGACTTCCAGGGAGACATTATGAGGAAATAAAAAATATAGGGATTCTTTGCAGGTTTCAACTTCGCAATCCCCCATATAATGTGGCATGCCCCATTTGAGCAAAAACAACTCAATATATCTTCAATTAGCTTCGGTATACCTTAAATTCTTTTGTTTTCCTTTGGAGAAGCAATCCACTAAAAGCAACAGAAGATGAGGAAAAAGCACCCACCATACATAAAGTATATATATTCAGAATATTGAGGAGTATTTAGCAGCTTGCCTGGCCTGAAGAATCTCTATAGCTTACAAAAACAACTCTGCTACCCCTAGAAGGAAATCCAGATACGCATGACACGTGAGGCCAGGAGAAATACAGCTTGGAAATGTAATGCTCCTCCTGCAACATATCAAATATACGCCCCAAAAATTTTTAGAGTTCCAAAAAATTCATATCTTTGTTCTGCACATCAAATAAAATAGAAGCAAAACAGATTACTGGTTGGGAAGAAACCTTGATTCAATCACAATGAAAATGACCGTAACTACCAACTGAATACATGCCAAAAGGTATGATACCAATTATAAGCAGAATTTGCAAGCTATAGAGAATATGAGATGAAACTCACAGGATACTCAACATTCTCAAGGTCTCTAAATCCCCCCAAAGTTCATAATTGCCTCAGAAAAAAACACAATAAGACCTAATTTAAGACTTCCAGGTACTGAATGTCAATTCATCATATACGTCAACGGCATCAAGTAATATAACAATGTTCAAATTTGTGAATCCAAACAAAAAATTTGCAAGGCACCTTAAAATAATACAGCCTGCCTTGCAATCCTCTAGAAACCAGCCAGAAATTACATGAAAAAAAAAGAGAGAGCAAAACAGCAATATCTTACATCTACTTCAATACAGCTACTCAATAGGTCAAAACCATAATCAATATAGTAATTAAGCAATAGAAATCTAGGAAGAAATACCTAAAAAGATGGATGTGACACCTGAATTCACAGACAAGTCAAAAAATGTATGGTTGTACAATTCCAATTCCAATTCCATAAACAACTGGACATTTAGAGATTCTGATTAATAAAACTATAAACAGATCAGCAACAAATACACACAAGTTACGAGCGAATCAAAAGGAATTCACGGAGGCACAATCGTATCAAAATTTCTCTTGATTCAAATCCAAAATGAACTTCAAATTCATCTACAAACTCTGTTTAATCACACTCTATAAGCATCGGATCATCAAAATACTTTTCAATTCGTAAAACTACAAAATGGAGAAAATCAAGTGTACACTGAAGTGTTCTTCGACTCACGTGGATTTTACCGAGGAAATTGACGGTGAGAATGAAATCGGAGTTGGAGTGATCGGCAGTGATATTGAGAGATGCGGTGGAAGATGAAGAGATCCAAGTGCCTCTGAAGCGGTCTCTTCGGACGTCGGGGAGAGGAATGAGAGTGGGAAAAGTGGAGGAGAGAGAAGGATAGTTGAAGAATCGAGAGTACTCAACCTCCCACTGGTCTGCAATGGCGGTCACCGGCTTCTCCATGTGTTCGCTCGCTAATGCAACCACAGATCCCGCCATTTTCAAATTTTAGCTTTCTCTTCGTTTTGGGGCTTTAATAAAATACGAGCGTCTCCAACCTTTTGGAATCAAAATTTATAGTTTGATGTTGAATTGGAGAAAAAGTTATTTTAATAATTTTTTAATTTTTTACGATAACACATATAAAAAAGTAGAGAAAATAATGTAATAATTTATATTTATTCTGTTTCAAAATATTAGTTCTTTATTCTATTTTTCATTATTTCAAAATATTAGTCCTTTTCAAAAATCAAGTACAAAAATAATATAAATTTTCTATTTTGTCATTCTTTTAAATTCATTAAACAACATAAAAAGTATGACATTGATATTCTCCAAAAAAATGTATTATCAATGGGTAATTTTGGAAAATCAATTTTTTTTTAAAAGTGTAATAATTGTACCAAAAAAAAAAATTGAATTTAAAAAAATAAACAAACGAATGAAGTGAAAGGTAAAAGTTTCATCAAATCAATAGAGGCTTTAGTATTTATTAAATTTTTAGAGAGAGTCGTTGCACTTCACCGTACACTTACACTATGTTTGGGAACTTAGGAGAGGAAAGAAAAGAAATGATTATTTAAGTAATAAGAGAAAAGAAAAGAAATAATTGTAATTTCTCTCCTTTTTGTTTAGATAAGGAAGAAATAAAAGAAAAGAAATAATTGTGATTTCTCTCATTCTTTTTTGGTTAAGTTTCATTAAGAGAAAAGAAAAGAAATTATTTTATGTTATATTACCAAAATAACCTTTTTATATTTTCAATCATTTTATTTCTTTTATTTTTATAGGGACAAGATTGGTATTATGAAAATAGTGGTTTCTTTTCTCTCCCAATCTCTCCATTTTTTGAAAGATTGAAAATGAGACTTATAAGAAAAATGAGTTTCTCACCATTTCTCTTCATTTTTTCCTATTTCTTTCTACTTAGGTTATCCAAACAAATACTAAGAGAAATACATATCACTCCATTTCTTTTCTTTTCTTTTCTCTTCAAATCACTCAATCCAAACATAGCACTTGCAAAAGCCTATTTTGATAAGTGAGTTAAAAGTCACTTCTCCACTTTTAACTCACTATCACTCTCACAAAAAAAAGAAATCAAAAAGTTAAAAAATTTCAAAAACCAACTTTTAACCCATCTTTCCAAAAACACCTAAAAGTTGCCCATTGCTTTGCCTATTTCCCATTGTCCTGCTGATTGTCTCTCTGTGAACCGATTGTGTAATGAATTTTAAAATTTTAACATTAAGACGTGGTTTGGGATGTTCTAAATAAGTGTATTTTTTAATTTTTTATGAAATATGGGTTGGGTTTGAAGTGATGTGATGGAAAAATAATGTAACTTAAATAAGATGATGTGACTTAAGAGCATCTCCAACCATTCACTTTTTTTTCATCAAATTTGAGTAAAAAATAGGTTATTTTCTCAATTTGATACTTCTTCTTCCAACGGTGGGCATCAAAGCAAAATTGAGGAAGTGGTCGACCGGTTGGTCGACCAGTAAGGGCAATTTTTTTTTATTTTTTTATTTTTACATGTTTGAACATTTTTTGACCGGTTTGAACCTACCTATTTGAAAGGAAACCAGTCGACCAGTTGGTCAACCGACTGGTTGACTGGTTTACCTCCTCCAACGGTCACGCACAGTAATTTGGTCAAATCTGTAGCTTGTTCTCAGTTTGATGATTTTTTTGTTAAATTCTCATTTTGATACTAATTTAGTGAAACTGTTGGAGCACAAAAAAGTGACTTTTTCACCAAAATTTAAATCTGATGCCAAATTTAGTTTACCGTTAGAGATGGTCTAAATAAGATAGTGGCTTTTTAACTTTTTAACATTTTTAATATATACCAAACAAGGCCTAAAACACATGGTATCCTATGAAACTAAAATAAATTTTATATTTCGCTTTCTAACTCAATTCCAAACATTTTTTTTCTCCTATAAATTCAGGTACACAAGTCAATCAAATAAACTATTTTTTATCCATATCATCGGATGAGAAGTCCGATTTGAAAGAAATCCAATTCACTCCAGTTGGGTTCATAAAATCCAACATAGATCACAACAATTCGATAGTTTAAATGATTTGTTTTGTAAATGGTAGATCGTTCATAAAAATAGTCAAATTAATTCGATAATTAAGCTATATAACTTATTAGATTTGGCCTAAAAACTATTTAATAAATAAATAATACATTAATTTTTTTTTTCTAAATACAAAAGTCTATAAATTAAATAATTTAAATTATCAAAATAAGACTCATGATAAGATATATAAGCTCAATTGAACCAAGATGAACTTTTCTCTACCCGGAGAAAACTCAAATTCTTTTGATGAATAATGTTAGTAAATGGTTTATAATTAGGAGAAATTACATGTAAGTAGGAGTTAGAGAAAAAAAATTACAGACATATGAAGGTACAAGTATATCTGTGGTAGGGTGCAAATGAAAAGTTGTAGAGACTTCATGTGTTCAGTGGTGGAGCCAAAAAAATAAATTAGAGGGGGCACTTCTTAATTACAATATTGAAAATATTCACAAAAATATTTCACATAAATTTTTACAATTGACTTCAAAAAAGATAAAAAAACAAAATCAGTGTGTTTAGTTTGAGTTCTTTGAATTAAGTTTTTTTACAATTAAAGTTTTTTATTTTATTTTATTTTATTTTTTTGTTTTTAGTGAATATTTATAAAATTTTAAGCAATTTTTTTTTTACTTTTTTAGATGCATGATGTATTTATAAAAAAATAAAATATTTGTGAAAAAATATTTTGAAAAATTAATAAATACATAAAAATATGAAAAATTTACTTATTTTTTGTATTTTTTTTATATTTTTGGTATTTAGTGAATTTTTTAAAGTTTTTTTCGCAAAAATTATACTTTTTAAGTATATTTATGTTAGGTGTGTCTAAAAATTAAAAAAAAATTACTTAAAATATTAAAAAAATTCAATAAAAACAAAAAAACATACAAAAAACAAAAACGCATAATTTTTTGAAAAGTGTTTTTAGAAAATTCAAACCAAACAAAGTGAATGTGTTATTTGTAATTAGTGTATCATGGACAACATTAAAAAAAGTCATGGATATAAAGTTTTAAAATAAATTATATAATGATAAAGTAATTTTTTATACAAAATATACGTAAAAATTCAATATAATAGTCATTTCACGCAATCATTGACATGTGATATTACCAACCAATAATAAAGAAACACATGGAGGATGAACTCTGCATATTAAATGTAACTAACAATTCAATAAATTCTATATTTTCATTGAGATTAATTATGTTTGCATATCAATAATGATAAAGATCACCATTATATTGAAATTTTCATAGATAATAATATTGTAATCTTTTTATTTTCAATCAAAATAATCATGATTGTTCTTATAATTTTAAAAATATCATTGACATTTCATTGTAAATAATATTTTTATATAAAATATTTTCTTTATGTTTGTAAAAAAAAAAAAACTTCCAAAACTCAGGGGGGCACGTGACCCCCCGGGGCCCTCCTTCCCTCTGCCCCTGCATGTGTTGATAATTTTTTTTTTTCTAACTTCCACCTACTTATGCGTTGTGTTTAGTTGAGAGATTTTGAGAGGGATTTGAAAAGAAAAAAGGAAAAGATGTGTGAAACTAGGTGAAATATAAGTATATTTTATTCATATTGCACCTGCCTTTTTCATTTCTCTTTTCAAATCTCTCATCAAATCTCTCAACTAAACACAACAGTAATTTTCCCTTACGACTACAACTAATTTATTATTACTTAGAACATGGAATGTAAGAGACTTATAGAGTATGTGTGAGTATAAAGTTTCAATTAACCAAAAAAAAAATGTAAAGTTTCACATAGAATAAAGGAAAATGATATTTATTTAATTGGTTTACCATCTATGATTTAAGGTTTTATATGAGTATAATTGTTTGGAAATAAATTATTTTAGTAATTTTTTGACTTTTTATATAAAGTATACAGAAAAATAAAAAAAATAATATGATAATTTATAATAATCTTTTACTAAAATATTAGTCTCCAAATGAGTCCTAAGTTCAATAACATAGATTAAACCCTAATACTACATATTACGGATACTTTGAAATTTTACCTTGACAGATTATTATGAATTGAGCCAATATTTCCAAGTTCGTGGACCTAATCTATGAATGGTCTCTCCTAATTAAACTGTTCGTGAGCGTAGTAATCTATGATGAGCAAAGTTGTTCTAATTGAAGGAATATTTCCTTGTAGGTTTTAATAAGTAAATTTATTGTCTAATAAGTTTTGTGATAATTAATAATATTTTTTATCAAAAATTATTAATAAAAGTCACTAATTATTAATTTTCAGCGATAGTAATTATTATAAAAAATATCATTAATTATCAGGTTTAACGATAGTTTTAAAAAATTCGTCATAAAAAAATGTTCTTAATTTTTAACTTTCAGCAATAATTCAAAAATTTTGTCAAAAAAAATCATTAATTGTAAATTTAGTGACAATTTATAAAAATCGTGACAAAAAAAGTCACTAATTGTCATTTTTTTTAGCGATATATGCAAAAAAATGTCACAAAAAATTATTTTTAACAATAATTTTACTATGACTAACTTTCAATAGTTAATGAGAATTAAATCTAACTATTAAGACCTATTGATAATTTATCCTTAATTGAATTGTTGTTAATTGGCTTATACGGAGATTCTTGATGGTCTTTCCTAAGAGTGTGCGCGGTGCGGTTTGGGCGGTTTGAGAATAAAATAATAAACCGAATAGCGGATTGACAAATTGCAGTTTGAGTGGTTTTGGACGGATTGACGGATTGAAAAATATTCTAACAAATTATCAAGTCTTTGCATAATATATAATACTAATTTATAAATATTTTCTTATATATAACACAAACTAATTTTACATAATATTTTTCATATATAAAACTACTAATTCGTAATAAATTTAACATATCAAATATCTCTCAAACTCATATTTACTTTAATATTTCATT